ATAAAACACAGGAGAAGTGTGAAATATGGACCTTTAAGGGAAACACAATTCAAATCCAGAAATGCAAAAAATATAAAATTACATGAAAACAGGGAAACAAGAACTGCTGCACCAGATGTGCTGATGGACTCAATTTGGACCAGCAGCAACATTATAGATACTGTTACTGTACTGATACTGTAACTTAACCCTTTATTAAGAGAGTAAACATTTAGATTTCTAATATATGGTCAGTCTATCCAAACAATGCTCTGACACCTTTAGAGATGTGGTCCAACTGGTCAGTGAGCTGCTGTCGTGGACAGCAGGTGTATCTGCATATAACACTGCTGCTTATCCAAATGGAGCCATAGCGTCCTGGAGCTACACCTCTGCTGTAGCAGCTCTTGTTGCATGTGTTTCCCCTGTTTGTATGTGGTTTCATATTTGCCCTATTCCCTTAATGTTTCTGCTTTGACTCTTGTATGTGCTCCTCAGGGGCCACCGTACACAGAGGATTTAGTGGGCGCTCTTATTAATGAAAGCTGCTTCTTGATCCCAAACACATTCAGTAATCAAGCTGAACTCGTCTGTAGAACTGTAGAACTACACGGTGCTAAGAAATCAACTGAGAAAACAGTTTCAGCATTGAAGCTGTTCGTGTGTTCTTTCCTGCAGATTCTATCTACATCCCTGGGTCAGTACTGCAGTAGTGACAGAGGAGTTAAACAACAACACAGACTCACCGTTGACGGACATGGCCGGCATCACCAGAGACATTTTGGGTCTGCTGGTCTTATTGTGGCTGATGGCTGGTAGCAGCAGGTGGTCCTGTGGGGACAAATGCAGGAGACATTCTGGATCAAATACATTCTGGTCAGAACCTGTTTTCATTTTCTTTATCTGAGAAGTTTCACTTCAAACTACAGGACGGGGCAAGAACAAACTGCTCTGTATTCAGCAGAATGCATGAGACAAATTATTTTTAACACAAATCACACATTCATTTACTAATATTGGAACAAATATTACAAAGTCAGAGAACATACTCAGGCAGACAACACATACTCTAGTATTTTGATTTTCAATAATGACAATAAGTCTTGTAAACAAATGCATCGCAGGACTAAAGAGGAACGTTGCAGACGACATAAAAACAAAGCGGTTATCTAACAGCAGAGATCAGCCCACAGCAGACAGATCAGAAGAGGACATAAATGGAAACATGGAAACACAGTCGGTGATGAGGTGCTACGCTGAGTCACCGCTCATGTGATCGTACCCGTCTGAAAGAGACGACGTAGAACGTGTCCTCCCTGCGGTCGATGGCGTCCAGGAAGTCGCTGTACGTGACCTCCGGACCGGGAAGCACCTGCAGCTGACTGCGGGGACAAACAAGAGCCGGGAGGGAGGAAGAGCGAGTTCAGACTAACACATCTCATCACTTAGTGAAATACTGTTCATGAAGCAGAGTTCCCTTCAGTGGAATCAACATCCCCTGATACTTTACTCTTGTTTGATTTGATGACATCAGACACAGGGACTGAGGATTCAAATGAGCTTTTAACTGTTACTGCTACAGTAAATATATTCTGCACTGTCCCTGTTAAATATAAATAAATCAAAGCCTCTGAATATTTGAGGATCTTTATGTAACGTCACACATACCGTCTCTACTCAGTGCTTTAAAATAAATCAGTTAAATCAGTTTTTTTTATTCTTCCAGCTTAAACAAAAACAGTTCCATTTTTCACTACTTTTTTTCAGTTCCTAAAAACTTTGCATTTCTCTCGACGCCTGATTGAAACCTCAACATCTGTGCATGAGAGCTGTACGTTCATGCAACGTGTCACTGTTCAGAAACAGAGATCAAACCTAGGAGATGGCTGCTCTGATTGCCACAGTAGCAGGTAATAAGAGAGATTAAAGAATATCTTTCTCGTAAGTGTTTTCCTGATGTGAGTTTTGTGGTGGTTGCTGAGTGTGAGGAGCAGTGTGTTGTACCTCTCTATGGAGCGATGAGCCTGAATGGGCAGATATCTGGAGAAGTTTGTCTTCCTCAGCTGAGCTTTCTGCATCACAACAAAGTAACACAGCAACACAATCAACAAGGATTCCTCTAGAAAAATCTGATGAGTTGATTTCCGAGGGACACAACAGAAATTACATGTGCGGTTTTCCTCCTTGTTAGAGAACGGATTCATGATTAGTTTCAATGTTAAAATAAAAAAAAAAAACCCAAAAAACAGGGTGAGACTGATGAGGAGCAGCAGCAGGAGGTGGAGCTCTCCCTACCTGCGCGATTTTGGCCTTCTTGGCGATCTTTGGTTTTCCTCCAGATTTCTTCCTGTCGATCTGGTGTCGGTGAACCCAACCTCTCAGCTCGTCTGCCAGCCTGAAAAACCAGAAGCAGGTCAGGTTAGTCGGCTTCAGGTTGAAAACAGGAGAGAAGGAGAGGCGGGTAAACGTTAAGTAGACGGCCAATTCAGGATTTTCAAACGAGTTTCTTTCTGAAAGTCAGTAACTACCTGATAAACTCTTCCAGCATTTAAAAAAAAACAAAACATGTTGAATAATTCCTTGTTGGTCATTTACTGTTTATCTTTATACATAATCACTAACACTCAGACACTGACACTCGTGCAACAGTTCTGGGTTTGAACAGATTTCTAGCTGCTTGTAGCCGTTTTCTGCCTATGATTTGATCTGCGCTCCAGCTGCATGATTTTCAGCTTCAGGGCCACCTCATGATAATTCAGCTTGGAAATGTGTTTTAGGTTTTTATGTGTGTAAATTAACTCATTAACTCATTAATGAATTAAATCTTCGTGGGGGGGGGGGTAAAGATACAAAAACCAGAGTTTTCCTCAGTTATGCAAGTTCACACTCTACACACTCAGTACTGTGACGGCTGAGTCTGAAGGGTTTGAAACATGTGCTTATATAAAGTTAAATAACATAAAAAAGAAGCTGGAGGAGGAGGAGGAGGAGGAGATGAAGAAAGGTTGGAAAATAAACTGACTGTTTAACCCACCTGAGGGACTCAGAGCGGTTGAACTGTCTGCAGTCGGAGGAGGAGAAGTAACGATCGATGTCCTGGAGAACCAGGTCCTTCATGTCGCTGAAGACGTCACTCAGGTTCCTGCAACGCACACATATACGCACATACAGACAATAGGATGGATTAAGTTTTGGTTCAAGCCTGAAAGCAGAACGATGGCTGCAGCAGGAAACACACAGAAGGACAACATTTCTTTCTGACTAGCAGGTGTTGGTTCCACACGTTTCTTTCTTATACACTTAAAGTGAGTGATGTGTTGGAGAACCTGCTCTTTTACACATGTCTGAAACCATGTGCATTTCTCTGTAATGGCTGCCGAACAGGTGATAACCTGCCGAGTGATGAGAGAGTCTGTCTGGTTAAATATACGTGAGAAAGGTGAGGCTGTTTTCTAAGAATGAATAACCTGAAACCAGCACTTCCACTAGCTGCTCGATGTTCAGGAGGAAGTTCTTGTGGAGCTGCTTCAGCTCAGACATATTCTCAGGATGTCTGAGTGAGCTCAGTCCACAGCATCTCTACTGGATTAAGGTCTGGGCTCTGACTCTAGAAGGTGGATTTTCTTTGTCTGTAGTAGATTTATTTTAATGTTCAGGGCCATTGTCCTTCTGCATCACCAGCTTCTCCTGAGCTTCAGCAGGTAGACAGCCAGACTGGGTTAGATTTACCCTGGTGTTCCAAATAAACTGCCGGCTGACTGTATTAATCAATAATCAACATACTACATTTATAATTATTAATCAAATGTGTTGCCCCAATTGAATTAAAAAAATGTATAAAAACTTGGAATTTGATTTCCTGGTCCAGTGTTTCAGTGTTCTTTCGGTGTTTCAGGTCTTGTGTGGGATCAGTCCCTCTCACCTGAAGTGATACGACTCTGGAGCGTATCTCTCTGCCTCTCCTCCGTCCTCCTCCGTCTCCGTCTTGTCCTCCACTCTGCTTGGAGGCTGAGCAGCCACCGGCTGTTGCTGTTGCTGCTGCTGTTGCTGCTGCTGTTGCTGTTGTTGTTCGATCTCCAGCAGCCGTCGTCCTGTGTACGACATCACGCTGTCCTGTAGACCCGTCGACAGCTTCTTGTCTGTGATGCTGCAGAGACGAAGACGGTTTCAACAGCGTCAAATTAAACTGATCTAACATGACATCATCACAAGAAAATTACCGTCAGCACAGTCACATATTATCATTGATGTAATACACTTTCTTAAAAAAAAAAAAATAATAATTTACTTATAATTTATATATTTATAAATCATATTTCAGAAGTTTTTAGATTCTTCAGAAATGTCCCCAATCATGTTATGGTTCAGGTCTGTCCATGTACATGTAAGTAATTAAACTTTATTTTTGTGTAACAAAATAATAGTCACAAAAAAAATAAATAAAATAAAGGTCCCATATTGTATAAAGGTACACTGCCATGTCTTTTTTGATTATAAAACAGTCAGCCAATCAGAAGAGAAGATCGGAGCCTCCTCTCTTCTGATTGGCTCACCGACCTGTTGTTACTGGAGCTCCAGAGAGAGGCCTGAGAGAAGAGATGTAAAACTACACTGAGATGGTTTTTGGTTCTTAAAACTGCAAATATATCTTCTTATACACTTCAAATAATACAAAGAAGAAGAAGTGTAAAATATAGGACCTTTAAGGAGGAAAGAAATACAAAATTAAAGAAACTATAAAAGATCATGTATCAAAACATGGAAACAAAATGTAAAAAAAAAGAGAAGTTACAGAATTATGAAAAACAACATTGGGTTTTCAGATGTTAGTGAAGTGTGAAGGATACCTGACGGGTCCGAAGCTGAAGGTCATGAAGAGCAGAACGGCCATGACACAAACGGCTCTCTTGTTACTCGCAGAGTCGCTGCCCTGAGAAAGTAATAGTGTTCAGTAATAATGTATATGAAAAACACACACACACAAACACACACACAATAACTGCCAGCACTTCCTCTGTGACTGTATTCCATTTAAATGACAAGTCAAACATGTTTTGAAATCCTCTGTAGTTTTGTGAAACAGAATTGATGTAGTTTCTTTTTACCCAACAAGCTCTTTGTGTTTTATTTTGCTAAACGACACATATCTGCGGTCAGTGCATGAATTTGTGTTTGACACACTCCCAGTCATTTTCTAACAGGCTTTACAGGTATGAACAGACTCTTCTGTTCACATGGTTTTACTTCCTGCAGCTCAACCTGTTGTTCATTTAACTCCCAGGCCGGAGCTGCACTCTTCATCGCTCTGTGACGGTGTCTCTGCAGGGAAATCAGCTGCTTCTTTACTGTAATCACACATCTCTCTAGACTGCGAAAGGCGGAGCAGGTGCAATGTAGTATTTATTCATTTATTCATCAACCCATGGAATCACGATGGGAAAAAAAAGGAAAGATCCCACACAGAAAATAAGAAAACAAGTTGTCATTCACTGTTTTGTGGCAGCAGGTTTTGAAGCCACCAGTTTTTGTTGACCTCATGTTCTTTAACTCAACTATTATTATTTCCATGTGTGATTTTATGTGCCTTCATGATAATAATTCATTAATTCAATAAGATTTTGTGTGTTTTATATTCCTATAAGTGATTTAATGCTTTTGTCTACTTTTTTTTGTCTTCTTTTCAACTTTTAACATTGTCAAAAGGTTTGCAGATAAATTTGTTACAATAAGCTCCAGAGAAAAGATGGATGCTAGAGACTGTTGATGCAACCTCTCTGTACAAAGAAGAAGAAAATATCTGGCCCTGCAACCTTCATCATAGATCTTTGATCCTTGTTGATATTTTTTAGTTTGAAAGGTTGTTCTGGAGAGAGTCCAAAAAGGGGCTGAAACGTTAAGGAAGGAGCAAAAGAAATGAGTAGTTTTCTGCCCTACCTCTTTCCCGGCCAGTCTCTCCCTCAGCGCCTGGTTCTCCCTGCGGAGTCGTTCGTTCTCCTGCTGGGCCTCCCTGAGCTGAGCCTCCAGGTTCTGCAGGTACTCCTTCTTCTTCTTCCTCGACTGGCAGGCCGACTCCCGGTTCTTTATCATCCTCTGCTGCCGCTTCAACACCTTCATCTGCATGAGGAGGAGGAGGAGGAGGAGGCGGGAGAGAAAACAGGGAGAACAAAGAAAAGGATGGAAATGTTTGAAGAGGGTTGGAAAATCAATGAGCCCGGGGAGGTTGATAGAAAAATGAAAATAAGATTAAGAGACAGAAAAGAGGAGGAAAGATGAGGAGGAGGATGTTGAAACAGAAGCAGAGGAAGAGCAGAGGGAGACAGGAAAGAGGACAGAGAGAGAGAATGGAGTGAGGGAGTAACAAAAACAGAAAAAAAAGTTCAACATGTGTATGATATAATCCAACGCCCTGAGGCAAACTGAGTGTTCATAAATCACAGCCGTTACATAAGAGGTGTCGAATGAGACACTGAGCTCAACATGCTGCTGTTTCTGACTAAATAACATCACTTACTGCTTTTCCCTCACATATGCAGCTCTCGTTCAGGTCGCAGCAGCTCCTGACTGATTGATGATGAACTAGTTCAGAGGTCTCCAAGCTTTTTTACTCTGAGAGCTACTTTGATAAAAAAAAAAAAAAAAAAGGGGCTGAGAGCTCCTCATGTCTTACATTACTGGTTTTTTACTCACACATCGTATCAAAACTGATCACCAAAGCAAATCAGATGAATAAGATAATTTAACAATTCATCAAATATCAATATCCACAACTCTCACTGTGTCCCTAAAAACATCTGAAACTCTCATCAGTGTCAATTTTGTGTCAAAAATCGGAGTCATGATTCAGTCAAAGCTGGACACACAGACATGATACCACTGTAAAAAAAAACGTCCATAAATCTGATTAGAAATCAGAGAAAGAAGAAGCTTCTCTGTCAGTCATCTGTCGATAGTTGTCAGTACATACATACATAACAAACAGCAACTTAAAATAGCTAATTCTGTATACTTCATTTTCTAAAATGGAAACAAACATGGGCAAAAAAAAGAAAAGAAGAAAAAACGGGGTTCAAGTTGAAGCCGACAGCTTAGCTCACTGTTTCCATGGCAACATATTTCTGGCTTCTTGGAAAAGTTTAGTTTCGTTGCCATCACTGCAGGTCGCCTACAGCATATCTGATGTAAACAAACTTGACAGTAACTTATTCAACTGACAGCTGACAAATAATTATTGGGTGTTGAAGAGGGTTAGCCTGATGCGCAACACACTTGGCTTCAGGCTGGTTTCTGGTTGTCATTTGATAAACAGTGTGATTCGGTGCGGCCGGCCTACTCACGTCGATATCACTGGAGTTGTTGCCGGGTAAAGTCGTGGTCGCCGGGACGATGGGTTTGCTGGCGGGTGGGGCTGTGGGGCTGGAACAGTGCTGGGGGATGCTGGGAGAGACCGGCTCCATTTTGACGATGGCCGGAGCCGAGCCGAGGCAGACGGACTGAGACAGGACGACTGCAAGAGGGAGGAGACGAGAAGAGACGGGGATTTATGTTTTATTTTCATTTATTTAGTTAGAGTAGTGCTGGAGGAAAAAAAATATTTATCTTATGCTGGCTATCTTTTGCTCATCTGTAAGTCAGCTTGTCAGGATCTGTCAGTTTTGTTTAAGTTTATTCATCTGCACAAGTAATAAAAAGTCAAGACTCTCTTCTCTTACCAGGTCTGGTCTGGTCCATGGAGGGGAGGCCCTGCAGTATGAGGGTCTTGGCTGGTGCGGGGGTCTGAGGGACAGGTAGGGTGGTGACACACACAGGTCTGGGCTGAATGGGAGGTTTTGTGTTCATGATGGTGCTGGCCTTTAATGTGGCTGAACTTGGCAGGACTGAAAGAGGGAGGAGAAGAAGTGTCATTTGTCATAACAGCAGCTGCCAACAGTCCTCATTCAGTGTTGCATTACTTCATTATGCTTGCAGATCGAATGAAGGATTTAGTTTTAACTTAAAATATCTGAGTTTAAACAAACTAGTTTTTTTTTTTGTTTTTTTTTCTCATATGCTTGAATTGTTTGCATGACACAAAGACAAACAGCTGTGGTGTTTGGAGAAGCTGCTGTCTCTGTCTGCAGGAGCTTCATTTACACAAACAAGTCTGACTACCAGACTATCTGTGACACGAATCCAGGTCTGAGCTGCACTGACAGATGGCTGAGCAGAGCAGACCACATATTTATTTATTTATTTGGATCCTCATTAGCTACCGCCGAGGCAGCAGCTAAACCTCCTGGGGCCCACACAAGTAAACATTACATCATCAAGCAAAAACAATGGTGTCATTAAAATCCAAGGTAAAAAAAAAAAAAAAAAAAGAGAACATAACAACAAACAAACAAGAGGAGCTCCCAGGCCAGATGGGACATATAGAGTGATCCCTTGCATTGTGATAATGGTCTGCCCCGGGGATCTCTGCACTGAATACCTCCACAGTGTGCAGTGAATGAGAGGATTTGCCTTCAGGCTCAGCCCGGCTCCCACTCATCACCAAACCTGCCTGTTGATCCACCGCTCCACCTTTACCCCCGCGTGAGAGGAAGGACCTGAGCTATTCTCTCTCTTTCACCCCTTGCTCTTCCAACATTAGAGAAGTAACCCTCTGTTTTCCAGCAAAGTACCACGGTCTCTGGATACGTCCACGCTAATATGATTTAAAATGATCGTTTTAGCTTTGTATCAGAAACTACTACTACGAATGACGAACGGCAAAGACAGTTGTAGCATTAAAAAGCAGGATTTAACTCTTTAACAGCTGCTAGCAAAGACAACAAGGTCAGTAACACCCGTAATTTGTTATCTGCATTGCTTTCACCGCTGGTAGTCGAGGCTGATATGACCGTGGGTGTCATTGTCATCATTTCCAAAGGTCTCTGTTATATGTGCTCAAAGACTCTGGAGTAGTGTGGATGCCAGGTGTAAATGTAGCGAAAAAGATGCCATTTAAAACAAAAAGTTAGCAGAGTGGACATGGCCTCAGACTATCGGACTTGCCGCCTCTCATCCCAACTCCTTCACACGTGGCTGCAAACCGTTGATCGTATCATCATGAAACTCATGATTCTTGATTGATTACATCTTAATTAGCCAGTGGAGATGTGTCTGCAGTAAGTGATCTAATATGAACTAACCGATGATTTGTGCAGTGCAGTTAGGGATGTTATGGAATTCATCAAGTTGTAATTCTTAATAATACAGTTAGTTCCGACCAAGTAATTTGATTGGACGAGAGTCATTCCATGAGCGCTGATATAAAGTATAGCAGCACTGGGACTTTTAACTACATGTATCACTCCGCTTTACAGGTGTTCTATTAACAGTTAATTAGCGTTACATTAACGGTTGTTATCTTTCTTAGATTGTAACAAACTTTGCAATATTTCCAGAAATAACATTTGAATGAAATGATGTCTGGTCGTCAGAAGAGGATGAAGGGAAGAAGCCTGGATACTTCAGCACACACCTGAGGTAACGTGTAGACAAATAAGCTAGCGTGCTGGTCAGGAAAATGTTTATGTGTTACTTAGCAACAGTCCAGTACCAGTCGGGTTGCTGAACTAATTGTGTTGTCGTAGCCAAATAAATAATGAAATAAACAAATAAATCATAATCTGTTGTTGCTTATTATTGTTAACTAATATGGCGCGTAGAACTGTTGTATAAAAGCAATATGACACTCAAGGTTGTGATGTTGGACTGAATATTAACACGGCTGTGATCGTCTTCGTATTGCTTAAATATTGAACTTTAAACGAACTATGTTGTAACTTTAACTTTGGTCCTAGCCAACGTCAGTTCAGTCCAGCTGAGACCACGCCGTCACCTGCAGGCTTTGTTGTCGTCACTTTCCAACATTGCTCTTGCTGCATCTTGTCCATTTCTATGCTTGTACAGTGTAAATACATCCAGCCCCCCACAACCACTATGACAACAGGACAATCTGAAAAATCACCTGAATCTCCTAAAAACTGTCCTGGTGAATCTCAGCAATTCACCCCAGCTAACACATCCATGGCAAGACCCTATCGCTCCATACTAAGCTCTCCAGGGTCACCCCTGAGCTCCATCCACATTTAACTTATTCACAGGTGTGCAGCCTTTAAAGAGAATGGAGTAATCCTATTGGTTACTGTCACTGGAGCAGTTGTTGAATCGGCTTACCTGCAGCCTGTGTCTGTAATCCACTGATGACTGCAGGAATCGGTGTCGTTAACGGCGTCTGCAGCTGCGCCTGTGTCAGAGCAGGTAACTGCGTCTGCGGTGGGGGCACGGCCGTTGTTGCCACGGTTACCTCCATGGATCCCAGCGGAGGAGACAGCACGTCTCCATACATGTACGGAGGAGTCGGAGGGTTTTCGCCTTTAACTGTGATCTGGTCGAGAAAGAAGACTCAGTCAGTGACTGCAGTAGTGAGGAAGTTAACACTAACATTCAAGGGGAAAGAGTAGCAGGTTCATTTTAAGCAAGTAAGCAGGTAAATTAATTGACTTGGCAAAATAAGTTTTGTCCCAGAAAACTTAAGTACAACTTTCACTGTCTGTCTGCAAAGACGTTCAGTACGAGAAGCT